TTTATCTTTACCAGCTTGAAAACAGACCCTTAATTCTTCTTATAAATATTAGTAAACTATGCTGACTACAACTTCATTACCAATTATTAATAAAATTGTAATTATTGTTGCCATGAATTTCTACATGCTTTAAATCTTGCTAGACATCAACCATCACTTAGCAGTAGTAAAAAAACAAAAGGACCTTTAATTATTTTTGTCATCCAATATGGGAAGTATCTCTTGGACCAAAGTGTATCAACTTCACCTCGAAATAAGTTGGAGCTACTAAATGAATTGTCTGCTGCATTCTAAACAAGATTCAATTAAAATAATTTATTTTTAACACTATTTCTGAAATATTGCAATATGTGTGGATTATAAGGAAATGGTTTTTAATGTAATTAAACTAAGCATCAAATCAGAAAAAAAATCCTTATTAGAATTTTTCTAGAAACCTACCTGCTTCATATGTTGTAGCATGAGCTGTCATGCTCCATGTACTTGACCTCCGACCTTTGGTCACCATGACAGAGAACTCATACATGGTATTTGGTTTAAGACCAGACACGGTATGGCTCAAGGCTGTTGTATCTGCTGACTAGAAAGAAAAGAAAAAGGGTGTCTTTAAAGCTTAGTCAAACTGGATTCACTAAAGAGACCATTTCTCCCACATTTTTCATTTTCCTTAAAACTTTCTATTCCTATGAGGTTCTTGATTTATTGTACTTGATCCAAACTCAAAAGTGGTTTGTATCTGAAACCATTAGGCATCAGTATTAATCATAGTGGTCAACTTCTTCTTAACTGAGTTACTGCTTCTACAATTCTGTCATCTCCAGGGATAACACTCAAGGCTTTGTTATGAATGAACCAGTTGAATTCCTAGTGATTTTTTTTCCTGAGACTGGCAGCCTTAGATGGCTTTCTGCTATGTCATAAAATTGTCATTATGAGTTATAATGGAGAAGGAAGTTCTCAAAGGATTCCTTCCTTCCTTCCTTCCTTCCTTCCTTCCTTCCTTCCTTCCTTCCTTCCTTCCTTCCTTCCTTCCTTCCTTCCTTCCTTCCTTCCTTCTCTTGATAAGGAACAAAGCCCTCTTCTGTTGGCTTCTGTTCTCCATTCTTCTGTTTTGTGTTACTATAAGATATCAGGCTGACATCTCTCCTTACTCTGAATTGTCTTCAGGATAGAGACTATCAAGGTAATATAGACAAGAGAAGGATATGGAAGTAAATAAAAGTCTCTTTTAAAATAAATGAGCAGTAAAACACTTGTACTTCATCCCAGATTCTTCTTTTCCCACTTTGCTTCCTGGAAGGACTGCAAGTGTGTCAAACTTGGGAGAGTAAATTAAATAAAAAATAAATTTTAGCAATGCAATAAAGTGTAAAAAAAATGTATTGCTGTTCTTTAAAGGAACAACAATTAAAGAAGGACAGGCAATTTTTTGACATCTTGCAAAATGTGATTTGGGTCCATGGCGTTCACTTAATTGAAGGAATTTTAAAATCTTTGATAGAATCCCTTTCCAACAAGATCATTTTGAGTAACCTTCATACACATTTAATCACATAAATGAAAATAAATCATTATACTGGTGATTTTGGCCAAATAGGTTTATCTATTTGTGTATATGTGTGTCTGGTGGCTCTGTAGTTAGCCTTCCATTGGTTGACTCGGCCTACCATCCTTCCAAGGTCAGTAAAACGAGGATCCAGATTGTTGAGGGCAATATGCTGACTCTGTAAACCACTTAAAGAGTGCTGTAAAGCACTATGAAGTGGTATATAAGTTTAAGTGCTATTGCTATTGTACATACAAACATGACATTTGTACCAGTGTTTTTAAATTAGTCAAAGTGGACAAAAATGCATTATTCTTTTTGATGACAGAACAGATGGATATTCAATATTTTCTCTTATTTTTCTTTTATTTAAACCCATGTCAAAGAACAATTTGAATATGACAAGTTTCATTTTAAGGTATGTCAACCAATGGTAGAATAAGAGAAAAGCACATAAAGTAAAGGAGCATCAGGGCTAGAATATAATATCATTAAGTTTTAAAAGCATACAGAACATACATGAGCATAGGTCAGACTTGGGAACTAGTCGTGTTTTATGGGACTTTTAAATATTGATAAATCCCTTATGATTAGGGATTATCATAAGTAATATGATAACGTAAAATAAACTAAACTGAAATCTCAGATTTCTCTGAAAGAACATTACTTGTCCCCATGAATTTTCAGATAAATTTGAAAGCCATACCAGTTACAACCATTTTTATTATCTATCCTATTCAAAGAAATACTTCAACGATATCCATAGCTACTATACAATTAGGATTCAAAGTGTGACAGTTCCTGGAAAACAACAGCCAAAAAAGGACTGTTGACTCCATGTCCTGCTTGTAGACTCCTCATAGGTCATTGACCATTGTATGAAAAAGAATACTGGGATAAAGATGCCTTTGGTGTGATACAACCTAGCTTTTCCTAAATTCAGATTTTCAGAAGAAATCAACTGTTTATTATGGGCATGAATACTTAAAGAAAGCCAATTTGATGTAGTGGTTAACACACCATTAGTCCAGAAGTCAACAATGACACAAAGATGACCCAAGCCCTCAAAAGTCAGCAGAAAGTTCCTGTTGAGGTATAGTGGTGAAGGTGCTGGTCTAGAAATGTGAAAACTGAATTCTAGTCCTCCCTTGGGCAGGAGAAACAGCTGGATGAATTTGGGCTCATCTCACCTCACAGGGTTGCCAGGAAAATAGGAGGCTGGATATTTAGGTATGCATATTGTTGTGTCCTGAGCCTGCAGAAGCAGGCTCGGGACGATGCAGGAGTCCCGGGCATTGCAAAAGCTGCCCGGGACCAGACTGAGTGGCGCCAGCCTTGCGCGCATGCGTGAGGCGGGAAAAGACTGCTATTGGTTGTGATTGCCCGGGGATCTGGGGGTATAAAAAGAGGCCTGCGTGCCTCTGCTCTTGTTGGTTGTTAGCTGTAAGAGAGTGAGAATAAAGATCTGTTCTGTAACATGAATTGCCTCCTTCGCCTTTCATCTCCGGACTTAACACATATCACCTTTGAGTTGACCAAAAGACATTTCAAAAGATGGAATAAAAATACCATAATCATCATCTTCATGAAATCTTACTCCTTTCCAAAATCTGCCTCCTACTGACAATTTGGCAAAAAAAGATTTGCCTCTTCCTTCACGTTGGGTTTGTTTCATTTCTCAACATATAGTAAATGGAGAAAGGACAGGGGTTATTTTTTCTCCATGGAGAAACAACCATCAATCTGGCCACAATGGGAGAAATCTCAGAAAGAGGGCAGACTCTGGATCTAACTCATGGAATCATACAACCCTGAGAGATGTTGAAAACTGCGATTCTATCCTCACACCAACAAAGTTCTGCATTTTTTGTTGGGCATGAAAAAATAAACTGTTAATTTGGGGAAAGAAATGGCAATGAAAAGGAGACAGATGAGTTAATGAACAGCACTTTGACAATTTGCATTCTTCCTAGAGATCTAACATGGGAACAATGGATCAACTATGAATTTCCATGCTCATGCTTCATCAATGTTCTTTATGTTTAGCCACTATACTTATAACTAATGAAAAAGTTCCACTTTTGTTTCTAATGTTTATTTACTGATGGAGCACTGTTGTTTCCAAAGCACCATTTCAGGGGGTCCCCAAGACATTCTGAGATTATACTGAAGTAAACATAATTGACTTCAGTTCATAACTTCTATATAATCAGGTTGAACTGGAACAAATGATGTGACAGGGTCATTTTTTTCGTCTACAACGTACTTGCACTTACAAAATACTTGCAATTTGGTGGCAAGAATGTTTTTAAGTTAAATTCCAATTTTAAGTTTGTGTTTGTTTTTATGCCAAGGGAAATCCCTATACTTTTTCTTTCAGAGATGATCTGGATAAGAAGAACTCTGATAGCAGAGCGGAGAAATTATGAAAGGTTATGTAAATATCAAATGCTCCAATAGTCACAGTTTATCAGGACTGGGCTTTTATTTTGGAAAGAGCGAGAGCTTCTTTGGTAAATTATACAGATTCCTTCAATCTGATTTTTGATAAACAGTCTTTTAAATATGCAAACTCTTTGCAAGAGAGATCTGACTCAGTAGTTTAATCTTTCTCTCTGTAGGTGTGCATATAAAATTCAGCTTAGTGACTTATTTGGGGGATTTGCACCACATGCTCAACCAAGACTACCAAATTCATTCACACTGCTTACTGCATACTGCACTTAGCTGGCTTTTACCTTGGGATTTGTTTTTTTTTTTTATGGCAGGTGTGTGGATAGTAGGGAAGCTTAGCATGTTGTGTGAATTCAGACCATTTGGGTCAGTTCAATTGAACCACAGGAAACCAGAAAATGGATGAATTGAGAAATCCAATTCAGCATACTGGCTGAACTTTGTGGTATAGAATGCAGCAAAAAAAAAGACAGCAAATGGTGAAAACTTTAAGCAAGATGCGCAATGGGGAATCAGAGACAATCCTTCCTCAAAATAAGGATGTGCCTGCACTGTGGATAGACTGAAATATAAGACATTCGGCCTCATATTTTAGCACATACCATATTAATGTCAGCCAAATGCTTTCGTAAGACACCTACAAAAATGGCCCTTCTTGGTGTTGGCCCCTTCTATGGAGTATCATTCCCCCCATCCTCTTGCTCTTCTAAAATGCCCTAAAAATGTGATTTTGTCACCAGGCCTGAGGACCACATATGGAGATGAAGCTGATCAAGTGGCTGATTTGATGGTGCTGTTCCTGAAATAGGGGGCAGTGTGTGTGTGTCAATGTGTTTTATTATATGGTAGATTTTTTAAAAATGTTATAAGCTCTTCAGAATCACCTGTGTGTGAGTTGGGTGGCTATATAAATTTAATTAATTAATTAATAAAATAATTAGTAAATAAATAAATTAATTAAATAATTCTATCTTTTCTTAGTATCCTTCTAAAATTTTCAGAAATTTTCAGGAAGACAACTGCCCACAGGTAAACCTTGCTTCAGTTAATATCACAAAATCACAAACTGTCACAATTTTGATGGAGAAGAGCAAATAATAATAATAATAATAATAATAATAATAATAATAATAATAATAATAATAATAACAACAACAACAACAACAACAACAATAAAGTTGGAAGGGACCTTGGAGGTCATCTAGTCCAACCCCCTGCTCAGGCAGGAAACCCTATACCATTTCGGACAAATGGCTGTCCAGTTTCTTCTTAAAAACTTCCAGTGTTGGAGCATTCACCACTTCTGGAGGCAGGTTGTTCCACTGGTTAATTGTTCTAACTGTCAGGAAATTTCTCCTTAGTTCTAGGTTGCTTCTCTCCTTGATTAGTTTCCATCCATTGCTTCTTGTCCTGCCCTCAGGCGCTTTGGAGAATAGCTTGACTCCCTCTTCTTTGTGGCAGCCCCTGAGATATTGGAACACTGCTATCATGTCCCCCCTCGCCCTTCTCTTCATTAAAATAGACATACCCAATTCCAGAAACTGTTCCTTATATCTTTTAGCCTCCAGTCCCCTAATCAT